TGATTATAAATACCAATTTTAGTTAATTATTTATTAAAGTAACTTTCAATTATTTCTACATAAACTGTCCATATATTTTGTGGATTAATATGTATAAATCGTATGAAAACTGTTGTTTMAAAATTAATATTAATGCTTAATTTATTAACATTTAGTTGTTGATGATTATTATTTTCAAACTTTTGGTCGTTGTCATTTAATAACAGCCAGCTATATCGACTTGATATGATTTATCGGTTGATAATTATTATATATGTATATTTAATAATTATGAGTTTTTAAAATTAAAAAAATATATATTTTCTTATTTATTGAATCATCAAAATTTAATTATATTTGTTAAGTAAAATGTAAATAGACTCAACTTTATCTAGTTTATGTTGTTGATTTTTAGGGTACACTACCATTAAGCGGAATTTGTGTCAAGAAATTAGATAATAATGGTRCCATTAAAAATGCTTTTGAAATATCTGGTAAAAATATGTATTTAGTAATCATTGATTAATAATATTGTAATATTTGGAATTCATGATTAAAAATTATGATTTATATTTTCTATAGGCCCTTTAATTGATCAAATTGTTGCTGTTTGTCAGTCAAAAGAAGAGCAAATTGATTGGATACAAAAAATTAACAAGCAATTAGGAAATAAGAGTGTCATTAATACTACATCTAGCAAATCAGTAAGTCTAAGCCTTGGTCGYCTTAGTGATTATTTTGCACATTTAGTATGCAAAGGTGTCATAACTCGATCACTTTTGAAATTAATTCTTTACCCACAATACATAAATAATATTGATACATCAAAAGTTGTTAGGCGTTATGCTAATCAACATAGTGAATTTTATTCTCCTTGTAAAACTAAACAACACCGTCTCGAAGAAACTCAATACCATGAAAAATCTAATGTATCAAATAGTTTTAATGTTTCATCACCAAGACATTGCTCATCAATGGTTCTTAAAGAAGATGGACAAGTTGTGTATGGAAAAAAGCTGTTKTTCACTCCATTTCAAACTAAAGCTTGTCAAGATTTAACTATGTCAACATTGTACAAAGAAGATATGAATGATAATTATAAACAATATTTTTTGAACTGTGAATCTAATATTGAAAATTTAAAACCAAAACATTTGACGATTCCGTTGCTAAACACTGATAACAAAGATGAAATTTACTTATCAGATAATCAGGATAGTACGTTTTCTTTGTGCGATTTAAAAACGTCTTACTGTTATGACAACAATTGCGATGATGAAAAAGATACAGAAATAAGTCAAGATTTTCAATATTATTATTTTAAAGATCATAACAGTTTGAGGTCATCTGATTCTGGGTTGGCGGATATCACAATTCCTGTTACACAACAATCGCCATTACCACCTACTGAAACATCTAGTAGTAATTCTGAAAACTTGTGTAAATATTCTTCGTCGTTACATATCAATTCTTGTATTTTTGAAGATGATTCAATGTTATTGAATAATAAAGCATCTATGCCACTCGACAAAGGTTTTACATTTCGCTCTGAACTTTATGCACATTGGTGGCTCAAAAAAAAGCTACAGGGACCTCTTGACAGTTGTGATTCAGGCAAGATATTAATTTATATTTGACTGTGATTGTGTTGCTAGTTGTGTCACACAAATTATACAGTTTGAAACTAACATCTGACATTTGCCGAGTTGATTTTTTTCTTTACAAATGTCCTTTTATTATACACCGATGGACAATAAGATAATTGATTGTAT